TGGGGTTTCCTTGGGTCTCCTGGGCGTCTCTTGAAGCGCTCTTGGGAGCCTTGGGAGCGCTCTTGGAGCCGTCTTGGGCCATTTTGGAGCCATCTCGAGGCCTCGGCGAGAAAGCCCAAAACATGGATTGTCCTAAGGTTTTGGAAGGATGCGGGTTTCTCCGGGGCCTCGTGGGGGAGCTCTCTGGCCACTTGGAGCCGTCTTGGAGCGGTCTTGGGGCCTCTTGGAGCATCGTCGGCGCCATCTTGAGGCATTTTGGGATATCTTGAGCCATTTTGGAGATCAGAGTTGGCTCTCCCAGGCGCTCTTGGAGTCATCTGAAGCAGCGGCCCCCCAAGAGGCCAAAATGTGGCCAAAACCTTGGTAAAACCAACGATGTTGGCATTGTCGCCGAGGCTTCTTGGAGCGTCTTGGGTGCCTCTGGGAGGCCTCTTGGAGGTTTCTTGGCTCCTGGAGGTCCATGGGGAGCCTCTTGGGGGCATCCTGGGGGCACCCTGGGGGCCTTTTTGGGATTTCCTGGCCACCTCTTGGGGCCATCTTGGGGCACTATTGGGGCCTCCTGGGCGCTTCTTGGGGCCATCTTGGGTGAGATCGACCACAGGAGGAGGGGTGTTCAATTAGCGTCCCCCCCCAAGAGGCCAAAATGGAGCCAAAACCAACTAAAACCAATGATGGTGGTTTCCTCGCCGAGGCCGTTTTGGACGCTCTGACACCTCGCGACCCCCCCCTCCACGTCCAGGGGAGTGGGTAGGGGGAGGGGTCAAGACCCCCTCCCCGCCCGCAAGCCGTCTCGTTCACTCCCACCCGCCATCCCAACACAGACGTAGCACCGAGCCTGGCCCGAGCCGCAGCAAATTCAGCTGTCGACTGGGCAGCTTCTGGGGGCGAATCCGCCGCCGCCACCGCCGCCGCCGCCGCCCGCCCCCGCCGCCGCCGCCGCCCCCGCTGTCGAGTCGCCGCAGCCGCTGCCGCGGCAGCCGCTGCCGCCACCGCTGCCGCCGCCGCCGCCGCCAAGTGTATTATGTATTGTTTCTTGACAGGGATGGTGGGGGGAGGCCGCATCAGGTTCGCTGCGCATGCTCCGAATTTGGAGGCAGAGTGTGTGTTCGCATTGTTTTTTGTATAAGGGATGGTTGGGGTGCCCGCATTGACGTTGGTTGGCTCCCAGTCGCCTGGGGGAGGGGTGTATACTAATAGGGAACAGTGATAAACCCCTCCCCGAAGGGGAAGAAGGAAGGGTGGAAGAGGAACCGCCCAAAACCACCGGCGCCCAGAGAGCTGGTGGGATTTAGGCTACTTCTTTGTTTTCACATGAGGCACAGTCAAACTCGCGTTCCTGATGGGCACGCCGCCGCCGCACGCCGCCGCCGCACCCCCAAGTCAGCAGACCTCTCACACGCGTCGCGGCCCCATGCGAAGCTCAGCCGAAGGCCCCCGTGAACAAGCTCGCATGGCGACTCCGCACCCATTCCGGCACCCCTCTCTCGCACGCGTCGGGGACCCACAAAGAGCCCCACCAAAAGTTTCAGCGGAAGGGCCCCCATGGCGGCACCGCGCCAATTTCGGCACTCCCCTCACACGCGTCGTGGCCCCATAGTGAGCTCCACCAAAATCAGCAAGGGCAGAATCCGCGTGGCGGCACCGGCCGAGCTTCGATTTCCCCGACGAGGTCTCCAAGCTGAAGCCAGTCCAGACCAACGTCACGATCCGCACGTTGGCCCGATGGTTGCTGCCCCGAGCCCGGGCACAGGCGGAGGCCGCCCCAGGACAACATCCTGAACGGGCTGCAGTGGCTGAAAGGCGACGACATGCCCTTCATGGCTACAGAGTTTTTTGCTCACGGATGTTGCTACGAGGCGGGCACGACGTCGGCGACGTCCGCGCGCTCGGCGGCGGAGCTAGTTCCTGGGGGCGAGGACGTCGATCCAGGGCTTCGATCGTCCGCGAAGGCATTCGGGCCCCACTGCCTAGTCCGCCCCAGACAGTAGACGGCACAGAGCTGCTCGCGCCGCGGGCGATTTTGAAGCCTCGGCGGCGCCGCCGATCAGCGCGCTGTCCGACGCGAACTACGCGGTAAGGAGGTCGGTTGAGAAGGGCCGTGCGGCGACGATTTCCCACAAGGTTGTTTGGGCAGAGGTATGGAGGAGGATCTGGCACGAGCTGGACGAGTTCGTCGAGCTTGGCGACCTGGGCCTCACAGCGCCGAATGTCAAGGGCCACGGCGCGCTCAAGGACGTAGAGGACGGCGAGATCATGCTGCGGCAGAGGCGCGGCAACCACGAGGCTGACAGGCGCAATTTTTCGGCGCTGGAGCTCCAGGCACCTGGGCAAGATGGGCTAGCCAGGCAGAGGAGGGCCTTTACGTTGGGTGGGATGGTCTTCTGGATTGCCAGGGCTGGCAGTGAGGCGACCGACTTCAGGGTCAACTTCCACGACGGCGACAAGGAGCACTCGAACGCCGCTCCGAGGGTCGACCTCACCAAGCACGACACGGTCAAGGCGAAGGGAGGCGTCGGAGGCGCCCAGACGATCCACAGCTTGAGGTGTGTTCGAACGGGCTTTAACCCGAAGAGCGCCCGCTAACTCTTCGCGCAGCCGTGCGGTGCAAAGGCCTTCGCTCCCGATGCGGACGCCAGTGGAGCCGCGAAGAGGCAAGGGGCCAGCGGCGTCGGCTCTTCGGCGCGTAGGGGCCGCGGCGGCGGCGCTGGCGGCTGCGAGAGCGATCGAAGACGAGCTGCAGACAGAGGCGCGCGGCGACCACGAGGACGACGTTGGCGCGGGCGCGCTGCCCGCGGGCCCTCACGAGGGCGAAGGGAGCCAGGCCGATGAGGAGGCGCGCGCGTCTTCCGCTGCAAGGAGCGGCCCCAGCGCCCCAAGCCGAGGCACAGGAGCAAGCGGCCGGGTTCCCCAGCGGGTCTGGCTCGCTGGACGCCGTGGGCGACGGGGGCCACCAGCTGCGCGCGCTTCACGGCCACAGCACGCCAAAGAGATCAAGGGCAAGCGCCGCGGCCTCGGGACGGCTTGCGAAAAAGCCACGAGCAATGAGGTCGAGAGGAGCAGGCGGCGCAAGGCCAACATGATCACGAGGGGAGTGAACCCCAAGAGCGGAAGGCCGCTCTCCTGAGCGGACGCCCGCGCGTGAGCTCGTCTCTCTCCTGGCCTTCTCGCGGGCAGGCGCCTGGCGAGCCTGCGTCGGGCAGTCCGTCGAGGCGGTGGCCGCTGCCGGCGCCCAGCGCCGGGGGGCAAGATGGCTCGGTGTCCGACGCAGGTCGCAGGAGCAGATCGGGACGCGTCGCGCGCCCTATTGCGCAATGGGAAAGCCCGGGAAAAAAGGAACGCCAACCAAACCCAGAGGCAAGACCCGCACGGCGGCACCGCGCCCAGTTCGGCACCCCCGCACACGCTTCGTCGCCCCAGTGGGCGTTCCACCGAGTGCCCCGCGGCAGGGCCAGAACGGCGGCACCGCACCCATATCGGCACACCCCTCATTTGCTTCGTGGCATCAGAGCGCGTCGTTGGAACTCTTTGGGCGCGACCAGCGCGCGTTGCGGGGGCGCCCCTGCGCTCTGGCCCCCTTCAGGTTCTTTTGCGCTTTGGAATGGGCGAGAGGTTTGCAATGTGCAGGCGCCTGAAAGAAAACGCTCTCCGAGCACCCTGCTATTCCTCAGTTCCGCCATCCCGTGACCTTGTCGCCCCTGTTATTGTTTTCATTGTTCCCTTCTTTTTTGTTCGCCCCTGCAATCGCGCTACTCGCCGCACATTGCTCATAACTGAACATGGTCGGGTAGTTCGCCACGAGTTGTTGCACCAGGGATCGCTAGGGTCCACAAATATGCGCCGCAAATTGTTTTCCTCCGCGCAGAAACGTGAGAGCTCGTACGATGCGAAAGTCAGGAAATGAGACGCGCAGAGAAAGTATTTGCTTTACTGTGGAGGGGGGGGCGGGCCGGCGTGGGGAACAGGGCCCAAGGCGTATGTGTCAAGAGCAGGAAACGATGTTGGGCATAACGCGTAAGGTTTAGGATTTTAAATGCGTGGAGGCCCAAGGTGAAGGGTTTAAGGTTGAGAGCGTCGGATTAAAACAGGGGAGTAAGGCTGAGGAATCAAGGCTGAGGGCGTAGGGTTTAGGGGACTCGAAGTTTTTGGACTTAGGACGTGTTATATTGCCCTGGCATGGTAAGGATTTAAGGAAACGTTTTAGGGGGGGTTAATTACAACTTGGGTCGGTTCACCTTGGGTTAGCGAGCTTGGAGAGCCCCAGCCGCAGCGAAGGGGGGGGAGAGTTTCGAATGAATGACCATTTCCCGACATTACCCAGAGACGACGGCCCCAGGTCCCACCTCACACGCGCGGACAGTGCCAGGGATTCACTGGTGGCGTTGGCACTTCGGCAGTATATTGGGGAGGTTCGGGGACACCTCAGAGCGACATGGTTGCCTTCTTGGGGCCTTCAGGGACCCTCTCGGATGCCCCTTGGGCCTGATTGAGAATAGGCAATATTGAATGCAGTCATTGGTCTGCCCCTCTTGGTTTTACTTCAGCTGGCCAGTGGCAGGTCGGCGATGCCCACTCATGTGCTTCAAAGTATAAAACTTGCGCATGCGATCTTATTCGAGCTACTTCGGTTCTCGAGACCGTCGGCATCGCACGCGCGGTCAACGGCGTCGCCGGATTCGTTGCGACCCACGCGTTGTGGCTTTGAAGGTACGATATTGCAGGTGTGAAGCCCCGTACTGTGTCAATAGGGCATACTTCGGGGCATAACAGATATTTGTTTAGCGCTTTTGGGTGGGGGGGGTTGGGAAGATGCCCGGATAAGCGAGGAGCATGAGCCCGAAGTTGGCAGACGTTCAGGAGTGCTACAGTTTCCAGGGTGGTCCATAGCCCACAGGCGAACTAGTTTAAGCATGGTGGTCACAGACTCGGCAGTGATTGCATTTGACAATGCGGATGTGTAGCGAGCCAGCTGCAAAATGTTATTGAGGTGCGCAGACGCACGCGAGTTTGAAAGGGGGAAACAGAAAACATGACGTATACACCTATGTTCTGGCTGATCCCATGGAGTGGAGCGGCTGGCGCGCCCCAGGCTGAGTGACTTCCACTGCCTTAGCTCTAGCTATGTGGTCCGCACTCTTATGTCAAGCCTGCGAAGTCAGCTCGACATGGTTTCCCTGTTTTCCCCAAGCCTCATTTTCCAGTTGCTCGATGCATCTGCAAGTGATCGATGCACCTCGTCTCACCTCGAGTGTCACCCTGTTTTTAGCATCATCCATTACTCTGTGTTCAAATGGACGTTGATCGACAGGGGGAGACAGACCTCGCCTCAGCTTTTTCTTGGACATGTGTTTGGCCTGTACGTTGGGACTGGGAACTACCCCTCGACATTGAATCTGCGCATGGTGAGCTCGAATTTGGTATGTATTCAAACTCTGCTTGCGTAGATCACCTCACATTGGTGGCCAGCAGAATTTGTAGCAGGTGCTAACCGTTGAAAGCGACTCGGGTCAAACACGGTTTCCTAGTGACGGTATTGTCTTGGCGTGGTGTGTAGCATTGCGTTGCATTGTGAATGGTTTGAGTGCTACAGTTGGTAATGTTTGTAATGATGGAGTGTAGCAGTTGTTGCCAGTTTTTTTGAACAGCGACTGTGTGGTTTGGTCGTCAGGATCTCGTGTGTGGGCATTCAGTGGTGGTCCTTGCCCCTTGCGCACGAAGTACACGTGTGGTTCGAAGAGACGATGCTATTCCTTTCGTGCGACGAAGCAGCTCCCCATGTTCCGACATTGGAAATCGATGCATTGCTAATAAGTGGCAACATGCAATCAGCATATGTCCACGCACGTATGCCGTCCGTATTGAAATTTCGATGTGTAAGTTTTCTGGAGTCATTCGGCCCATCCGGACACCATGCTTGAGTTGTAGGTCAGAGGCATGTTGGGTGCCCTGCGTCCGTCACCCCCTGGCCTCTGGAAGAGTCACGCAGCAACGCGCTGCGTTCACAGATAGTCAGAATGTTCCATTCGCAGAACTGGGGATGACGGTTCCAAGGGACCTGACGACATTCCCATTCGTGTTTCGTGGCATTATGCAAGATGTTGAATACGCGCGTGAAGCATAGGAGCGACACCCAGCAAAACAGTTACATTTTCCCACCTTGCAGAGAAATATCTCGTAGCACTGATTCCCATACACTTGCGTACGCTACGTCACGCACCCGCTGACGGAGAAAACCCTCCTGGCGCTCAATCAGCCAGCACTTCGCCGACGAGACCAGCGAATCGCAAGTTGCGCGGCCCGATTGCAGACTCCAATTGCGCGGCGACGCGGCAAGACCTCGACTGTGGACCCCCCCAAGCGGGCGGTAACGAGGCGGCAACGGGCGTCGACGCGGCGAGACTTCGACGGACCCCCACAAAGTGGGCGGTAGCGAGGCGACAAACGGGCGGCGACGTTGGGAAACCTCGACAGACCCCCCCCCCTAATAAAGGCTCGGAAAGGTGTTTTCCGAACGCCGCCAGACGCGCCCATGCCGACCCGTCGTTTTGTTGCGCACTCGTGCTATTTGTGGACTATTATGGGCCGTCATTGCACACAGCGCCAACATTGCGGTTTTCAAACACCCACCATGATTTGTGCCGATTATCAATTCAGTGTCGAAGAGAACGTGGTCACGGCGAGTTGCGATGATTTCTCTTGTGCAATGTGCCAGCTCGAAGCACCACCAACCATGCCAAACCAGGACCAAACCAGTCAAATCACGAGGACGTCTCAAGCGGAAGCAGGCCCAAACCAGGGCCAAACTAAGCAGCTTGTGAGGTCGTCTCAGGCGGAATTGGGCCCAAACAAAGCCAAACCAGGCAGATGTTGAGGATGTCTCAAGCGGTGCGCGCGGCGAAACCAGGCCAAACCAGGGGCCAAACCAGGCCCAATGGGGTTCCAGATATTGTTCTTCATGGACGTCGAATTCACAGAGTGTATCATCCCAGGGCCCCCCCCCCCGCAGGCGGAAGACCTTGTAGAATTGTAAGGGGGGGGGCTTTGGACCGCGCGTCCGCTGTTGCGGACGGGGGTGGGCGCAGAAGGTTTCAGGTGTTTTTCAGGTGTTGTTGGTGCTTGGGCGTGGCGTGGCGTTAGGAAAAATGCTTCCGAGCCTGGAAGGCGACAGCGAGGCGGCACAGAGCGGCGACGTTGCGAAACCTCGGCGGACCCCTCCAAAGGTGGACAGGAACGAGGCGGCAATGGGTTGCGACGCTGCGAAATGGCGACGGACTTCAAAGTGCGCAGCAACGGGCAGCGACGGAACAAGAAGCAACGCAGTTGTCCCATTATACATTTCTTTACATGGGAGAGAAGAGAGCAATCACTGTTCAGGATCGATATATATATATATATACACAAATCTGTTCGTGTGAAACATATATTGCAGCACGCGGCAATATTCATGTTGTTTGTGTTGCTTTCTGTCACGGCCAACGCTCGGGCATACATGTGTGCATTCGGTTGTCAGCGTGGACGCCTTTGTGTGCATGGAGTTCCCCACGTTCGGGAGAGCCGAATATCGAAGACGCCTACGGCGAACCGCCGTCGCCAACTGACTTTGCAAACGCCCATGCACATGCAGCCAAACGTTGGGCCAAAATCTGGCCAAGATAATGGACTATGTGTTCCCCCAGCCGTTGTGGAGCTTCTTGCAAGAACACCTGGGAGAGAAGGAGAAAAGAGGAGGAGTAAGGGGAGGAGGAGAAACAGGACGAGGAGGAGGAAAAAGAAAGGAGGCCTGTTGAACCCGTCGTAGGGCCTGAGGGGCTTCGGGGGGGCTTCTGCGAGCCCTCTTGGCCGTCGGATGCCGTCTTGGGTTCCTCTCTGGGCAGTCGTGAGCCATTCTTTGGGCGCTTTTGGGCCGTCTTGGAGGTTTGTGGGGCCGTCTTGCGGCCCTCTTGGGAGCGTCTTGGGCCGTCTAGTGGAGCAAGCATTTTTCAAACGCCTGGGGAAAGATAACCTTACGTTTGTCTTCCCGTGGAGGGGGCGCTCACACGGTTTCGGGGCAAGCCGTTCTGATAGGTTCCGTTGTTAGTGCCCAGGCCACCGTTTTTTTTAATTTGTCTCACGAGGACGGTTCTGATTTCACGTATAAATGCAAATGATTTAGCACGTCCGTCATGCTCGGCTTGTTTTGCGGATCAGTCCCCCAAATAAATGTACGAAGATGTTGTCCGGGCAGCTTTTCCGCACACCAATGTAAGGCAGCCGATCCCGATATAAGGCGTGCGAGACATTCGGTTGTGTTCCTCTCGGCCTCCCCTTCCCCAGGGGCCGAGCATTCTACTGGAACGAGTCATCCACATGCCAGGATTTGCGAGTATGATTTCAAAAACTTGTTTGTTAAAGTGGATGGCGCGGTTGGGGTTACGGAGTGCAGTCCGTTCGGAGAGTTGGCAGACGCGATATTGGACATGGTATCCCAGTTTCCAGAAACAGAACATCGTATTTTGCATCGGTTTATTTCATGCTAACTATGCGTGTGTTGCACGTTCGACCAGGGCAGAAGCGTAATAGTGCCATGCACGTTTGCATTCCCCGAACGACGCATCGCGAGGTATTATTTCTCGCTGTCTTTTCCTCAGGCCCAGCGGAGCTCGGCATGCAGCACGAGCAGGAATCATGCGGCCTAAGTCTACTGATACCTTACAGACACTCGCCGACACATGGCATCTGCGTTGGGGAAGCTTCCCATTCAGGACCACCGCTTACATCACCGACCCCGTCTACGGTAAGGTTGGTATCGCCGACACAAATGGCCATAACCCAATCGGCTACGGCAATTATATCGACGGATTGGATTGCATTTTGGTGTTAGGGGTGGGATCGCGAGGATGGTCAGGGTCGGATAGGGAAGGGCGTGCAGCGAGATAGTTGTGCATCTTTAGAAGCAGAAAGTATCGGAGATTATGCTTCCACACCTGATACACCTGCAGACATACCAATACCCATCGGATTGCTGAGCCTCTGGCGCTGAATGCGTGTGGGTCGGGACGTCGTCGTATCAAAATCTTTCGCCGCATAATCATTTTGTACCAAGCCGAATTTCTCGTGAATACCATTATCTGCGAACGCGTGTCGTAAACCGACAAAAAAATCCGACGCAGTCCTTGACGTAACGAACCCGTGGACACCTTAAAAGTGCCAAGTCGGTTCAATCCATTGCATACCCACGACATAAACTAAGGATCCCATCTTCTGTCCCTGCCATTGTCCGCACAATGGGAACGAAGAATTGTGACCCTCGATGGTTTCGCAACCGCTCAACAACTTGCTCCAGGCTTGCATTCAAAGGGATAGTATCCACCATTTTCTTATCATCTATATATATATATATATATACATATATATATATACACGCGACAGAGAACGGGCCCGCAGACCCCGGACCGGCACGCATTTTCAAAATCCTCTTTTGGTGTAAGTGTTCAGTCCCGGCGGGGTCCGGACTCGTCTCGGGGCGCGGCCCGGGGCCGCCAAACGGCTCTCAGAGCGATCCGACAGCCATCCCCGCGGCCCAAGACTGCTCCGAGCTACCCTAAAAACGAGGCCTCGAAGACTGTCAAAGAAGGCTCCAAGAGGACCCTGACGAGCCCCCCGAGAGGCCGAATTTATTTATGTTTCACCGGTTTTTGAAGGATGTTTGCCCAACATCAGCTTATTGACAGTCCGCCCAACTTACTGGGTGAGCTTGGCGGACTCCCTGCACAACCTCACTTGCGGTTTCCCGGCAATCGGGCAGGAAATATTGGGCCATTTCATTGGGGAAATCTTAACGCTGGTCCTAATTGCCCCGACTGCTTGATCGAAACCGAACGTGCCGGCAGGATGTGTGAAGACAGCGGATACAGCGGATGGGCAGAACGTGCATGTTGGGGCGAGCTGGCAGCAGGTGAGAGACACCCCGCACCACCAGACCAACCAATGGCCCTAGGAGAATGGACACATGGATGGTAATTACAGGCGTCTAACCTGCTGGAAACATGCACACTACCGCGTTCTACAGAAACTGGGAGGAGGACAGACTGCCCGGAGGAATGCAGCGACTACAGGTAAGGCGCGCGTGCACGCATGCAAAGGACCTTCTGCGGCAAGATGATCATCTGTATACCCAACTGCAAGATGCTTGACCTTTAACAACACACAAATATGTTGTGCAAGCGGCGTCGATTGGAAATCGTTCGCAGGGCCTGCCTGACCCGCACGGGCAGTCTACAATGACCACGAACGAACATGACATACTCAATGCTCGCCACACGGTTTTGGTGGTGGCGCGGAAGCCGACGGTCTGATCTCATATAGGCATGTTGAACGTATGCTAGCAGGTACACGTCTGCCAGTGCAAGCACACGACCAAAGACGCACGGACTTCATCGCTCTTGGCTTGAACTTGGAAAGGACAAGTTGTCTTAACATTGTTTTGCGACGTCACAATCGTTTCTCCGACGTGTGGAACCGCAGGGAC